GAACCCAAGTATCCAAATTGTACATTCAGGAGTATTTTTTTACTTGGAAGACCTCCATCCTGCCTAGTACAGATCCCATGCTAATTTTGTTCAACTTTGTGCTTATGGTCATTGCAGCTGACCCTTTCTGGGGTTCATCCCAGAGCAGTTCAGGGAGCTACGGGACCCTGGGCTCTGAAGGTAGAGACAAAGGCCCACCTTTTCTCCCAAGCAGTATCTGCAGAGGCCTGAGGACCTGCAGGCACAGACACCTTGCTGTGTCCCCTTTTGCATCTCAGCTTTTGTGACCGAAGGGGTTTGGTCCCATCCTGCCACATTACTCCATGGCTCTCGGGCTCCGGGACTGGGCTCTGCCTCTGCTGGCTGGGGTTTCTGGTAGAGTCCCAGCTGGCTCAGGCCCAACCAGAAGTAGGAGGAACCGCTGTCAAGTGAAAAGTGCTCATCATGTGATTGATGACCACTAATAGAGCCAGTCCCCTCCCTCCCCCACCAGCCCCACTCCCAGCGAAGACCACGGCGTACCCACTGCCGCTGCTCACATGGGAATGGAGAGCCGTTGCCCATTCAGGGATTAACCTGCCGCTCAGTCCCTGGAAAGTGGCTGCGGCCAACAGAGCTCTGGTCCAGCCCATCTCACGCCTTTTAAAAGCAGAGGTAGCCGGTTCATCAATATACAACATCACGTGGTGCCCAGCCAACCACTGCGGCCCTAATTGCCCCGGCAGCACCAGCCCCTTTGTGCTGCCCGTCTGGCGCCAGCTTTTGTTCCCAGGCAGGTCTGCGGCGGTGGTGCTGGACGCCTGGGCCTCTCCGCCATGCAGCACGCTGCAGCTTCGCCGGGCTGCCATTGTGTGCGGCCGCTGGGCACACACGGCACACTGGCACATAGAAGGACAGCGTTGCAACCTGCAGCTCCTTCCCTCCCTCCCCAGCCGACAGCTCTCAGCGAGGCACCCTCCCAGCGGTAGCTCAGCAGCCCCATCCCCTTTACACTCTTTTTTCCCTAGCCAAGTAGTCCCTTCGGTGCCTGGACATCCCTGCAGGCAGTTTCATAGGGCTTCCCATGGGGCTGGAGGCGTGCAGAGACCCCAGTGGCGGATCCTGCCTTCAGACTTCTTGCCATGGGGTTCCAGTGACCCAGCTGGTCCCCAAGAAAGTCAAGGGTCTTCTGGTTGGTGCTGGTGGGCTCCCTCTTAGCCAGCCTCCCCCCTGCCCGTCCTTGCCTCCTGGGTGTGAAGCCAGCTGCCTCCTCTTCGCCGGTGCACAAGGTTGCCTGCAGCCCCGGGTGACCCAGGCATGGTCCTATGGTGGCAGCCAGGTGGGGTGGCCCAGACGCCCTCCCCAGCCTGCCCAGGGACCAGGGCTGGGAGTCTGCAGTGCTCTGTGCAGGCAGCACTTGCTAATGGTGCAGGAGGCATTTGGCTTTGTTTTCCCAGCCCCACACAAGTGGCATCTGCAAGATAGTGGCCTCCCTGGGAGCCCCTGGCTGTGCCTGCCTAGGTCCCCCTGCCCTGGTGCTGCTCACCAGGCCCTAGACAGTGGGTCATGGATGGGGCCCCCCTCAAAAGAAACAGGGTGCAAAGGGGCAGCTCAGCCCTGCACTGACTGCACGGAGCTAACACAAAGCCTCATCTCCTTTTTGCAGCAGGGAAACTGCTGTGGCCCCATGAAATGGTATGTTACTGTAAGGGCCAAACCAACAAATGGAGACCCAAAACCCACTGATCTGAACAAGAGAACCTGCACGGCCTCGCTGAAGCTCAGTGCACCCCTGACACCTCTCAGCCGGTGCTGTCAGCAGCTTCCTATCCCAAACACTGCTGCAGCGCTGCTGGCATTGAGAGGCCCTGGCTCAGTGACCCTGTTATGGGTCTGGAATGGATGGAGGGAGCAGGGAAGGGGGGGAAGGGGTGCTACGGCTCCTATTTGCAAAGAAAGGCAAGGCTGGGATCAGCCCCAGGCCTGGCCTTGGCTGACGATTTGTGTTCTAAATAGGTGACCGGAGTTCAGCACATCAGATGCTGTTGCAAAGGAGGTGAGTTCCTATTGAGTGTGAAAGGGAGTTGTTTATAATTTATGGGTTTTAAATGATGGGCCAAGAAAAAGTCTGGCTTGTGCCAAAGTGTGTCTCTCCTCTAGATTGCTGATGCTTGTACAAACATTGTAAAAATGCCAGCGATCTCGCTAAAGTAACATTACTTCTATAATTAGGTTATCATCACGGACTTCTATTGCATTACAAACAAGACACCTCTGCCAGAGTCACGGAGAAGAAAGTGAATTTATTTACAAGAAGATTCCCCCTTGCACATGCTCCTCTGCCTCCCCCACTGGAAACTGCAAACCCCATCTTTCTGCAATATGAAAATAATTCAGAGCAGTGTGCCTCAGTAACACCGTGTTTGTGGTCAAGGTTCCTCTGAAATCCCCTTCTGCCTCAGATCTGGGGAAGGGCTATCTATAAACGGCCTTCGCTTTCCTAACAGATTTAATGAAGGACTAATAGTGTAAGTCAGAGGAGACACTGTTTGAAGAACAACCTACAGAGCACGAAGGTGGGAAACGCTTGGGAAAAGCACACTGGGTTACACCAGGGACGGCCCTGCGGAAATGGTGGTGCCTTGCCATTTCGCAGGTAGAAGCAGGTGATGCGAAGTATGTCATGTTTTCAAGAACACACAAAAAAACCTACATGGATGATTTCAGTCGTGGGTACATTGATCACAGAAAGTTCTGGAGATACAAACAGATATATATATGGAATATTACAGAAGCATAATTCACGAGTGGTGTTTAGCCTTACTTTTTGCGTTGTTTGTATGTTTTGTTTACTCCTGGCTGCAGCTTCTAAGAAACAATTTGTGTGAAAACTTCCATAGAAAACAATTTTAGGGCTCAAAATGGTTAAAATATGTCTCCGAACAAAGTAGTTTATTCTGTTCTGCTTTGTTTACAGATCTACAACACATATATCCAAATTTGCTCGGGTGAAAGTGAAATTTAACAAAAGATACACTTCTCAACGTAGCACGACATTGTTAAAATTGCACAGAGGGGAAAATAAAACCCTAAGTAATATTTCGAATCGTTACTGTCCAGCCAAACATAAATACCAGAAGGCGAGGAAGAAAGCAGGGAGGAGAAAGAAACGAAGAAGAAAAGAAAGAAAGAAAACTTGTCTGTGTTGACCAGAATTGGAGGAGTTAAAATATTTCTCACAATAGGAATGCCAGGTCCTGTCATTAGAGGATGGAGTAGGAGCTGCAGTGTTTGTCAAACTGGGAAGTGGCGCGTCATACGGTTTGGTGGGGAATACAGAAGTTCGGATTAATCTTTAACTCGACACTTTTAGAAAGAGATAAGAATAGTCTTCTCGGAGCGAGATGTACCGTCAGGAAGAGACTTTAATGACAAAGTTTACAAAAGAAGTATCTCTGTAAATCCAGCGAGGGATTCAACACAGCCGGGTAACTAGAAAGCAGGAAACACGAGGGTTCAGAGCATCATTCCTTTTTTTTTTTTTTTCTTTTTTTCCTCCTTTCTTTTTTTCCCTCCTTTTTTTTTTTTTTTTTTTTTTTTTTATTATTATTTTTCCCCATGTTAGCTGTCCCGTTCGTGGCAGAGAGAGGCGGCAGTGCCCCAGGGATGGGACCGTCCTCGCCGGGCAGCGGGGGAGCGCGGCGGCACCGCCCGGCCACTGCCCTCACCCCGCCTCGGCGGCTCCCCTTCGGCTGTGTGTATCTGATTGTCAATTTTCTTTCAAAGTTTATGTTTATGAAAAACAAGAGGAAAAGCTCGGGCTTCCAAAGATGTCTAAAAAATTGATTTATGGTTAGTATAAGGGCAACAGTATAAATAACAAAGGAGGCGGCAGCTGCTGCGCAGATTGCTATGGAGACCCTAATGAAATTAGCACTATCAGAGGGTTTCTAATTTTTTTGCGTTCTAAGCTTCTAATTTCTTTCCTATTTCAGATAGCCAGAGCCTAATTAAAAAAAAAAAAAGAAAGAAAGAAAATAAAATAGCCCACCGAAATAATAATATGTGCGATAGATACCCAGTCAATAAATAAACGTTAACCTCACCGAGGTTTTCGTATGCAGGATTTGTTCCAAAACAAGATGGCCAAGCGCCCCACTTTGTAGATCGCCTCCACAAAGCGGCTGTGCTTCCAACCAAAGGTGGCTTCACCGGGCCGAGCCAGCTGCCGGCCAAGCCACCGAGGCGCTCGAGTGGGGCCAGCCGGTTAGAAATAAATACTTTAAAAATACTTTCGATATTATTTTTTTTTTAAGTGTAACGGCTCTTTGTGCGATGCCACAGTTTGTTTTACTCTATTAACGACTCACGACTTGCCGTCTTAATTAATCCTTACATAAACTACAAACACCAGCCACTGTTACAACTGTTCAAGACTACTCTCTCAACTAGCTCAGACCGAATATACTAAATAGGTGAAATGTAAGTCACCACGGACCTGAATCGCTCTCCCGAAGTATTGGTGAAGAAACTCTACAAACAGCCACATAAATACATTAAGACGAGGATAAATAATCAGTGATACAAAAATGTCTCGCTTAAAATAATAAATACATATCGTTTAGTCCGATGCGACCCTTACGTTACGGCGGAATTCATAACTTAACTTCTCTGAAGCAAGCCCGCGCGCGGGCGAGCTCCCACCGCTGGCGACTGGTCTAAAACCCCTCAGCGTGACGCGCCGCGGAACACCGCGGCACCTCCACGACTTACCTTCGAGCACATCACTACCGGCTTACCAGTCCCCCGGCTCGCAGCGTATTGCACTGTCACGCTTACAACGGCCCTCAGAGAAGGGCTCCTGCTCACGGACCTGCTCGGGGCTGCGGGAGGGAGAAGGGAGCTGCTAGGGGAGACGCAGCCGCTAATACTGTTGGCACTCGAGAGCTTTAAAGTAACACTGTCCCGTCCGACAAGTGAGGTAATGGAGAGGGGAGCGGGCCCCGCCGGCCGCCGCCCCGCTACAGATGCGTGAGCTTGGGCGCCTCCGGCATCCGTCCCTGAGAGGTGTGGTGGGAGGAGAGGTCCGTGTAGGTGGGGTGGGGGTCGCAAGGTCCGTGGTGGTGGCCGCCGGGGATCTGCGCGGCGCAGCTGTAGTCCACGCTGGCGGAGGAGGGGTGCTGCAGGTGCCCCAGGTTGAACATGGGGCCCGAGGCCGGCATCGAGTCCACGAAGTTGCCCCCCACGTACACGGGGCTGCCCTGCAGGCTGGGGTTGGCGAAGCCGCCGCCGCCGCCGCTCTGCATGGGGTGGGGGTCGTACTCCGCGCCCGCGTAGCGCTTCTGCTGCGGCAGGCAGCTGCTCAGCGGCGCCGTGTAGGCGGCCAGCCCGTACATGCTCTGCTGGGATTTGGCGAAGGAGGTGGGCGAGGGCGCGTCGTAGCTGAGGCTGTTGACGCTGGGGAGCTGGCTGGAGTAGCCGACGTGGTTCGGGCCGCTCAGGGGGGGGCTGCGGTCCGGGGACTGTCCGACGGGGGAGTGCATGATGCCTTTGGCTTTCTGGTCCTTTTTGTACTTCATCCGGCGGTTCTGGAACCAGATCTTGATCTGCCGCTCGGTCAGGTTGAGCAGGTTGGCCATCTCCACCCGGCGCGGCCGGCACAGGTAGCGGTTGAAGTGAAACTCCTTCTCCAGCTCCACCAGCTGCGCGCTGGTGTAGGCTGTGCGCACCCGCTTGGAGGCCGGCCCGGGGGGGCTCTTGTCCTCGCAGCTCTCTCCTGCGGGGAGAAGAGCCACAAAGAGCCGTTGGTCCCCCCCGAAAGCCCCCCCCCCG